TTTTCTGTTCATAGGAAACAATGTGCACATCAGCTCCTGTGGATTTCTGGAATTTCACTATGTGTCTTGCAAACGTGTGTGGGTGAACAAGATCTATTACACATCCAATTGCTGAACAGAATAAGGCTTTAATCCCTGGGCTTTGAAGTGATCCTGGAGTTTCTTGAAAGCTATGCTATAGTCCTCTGGAGTCGGCTTGTCAAAATATGCTGCTTTTGTTATTAAACTATAAATTTTTGATCCACCTGTAATACTCTGACAAGCTAGATGTTTTGAAATGCGATCGGCAAGTAGGGGTCGTCCAAACTTTATACGGAAAACAACTGCCACTCCCGCCGACATATGTCTGTCTTCTGATATGGAGTGAGCGAAACCAACTGTTTGGTCAGTTCTGAACTGATCTATAACCTTATTCATACCAGTATTGCAAATTTTGATTTTACTGTTGAGTGTTTGTTGTGGAGATAAAACTGGCTAGGTTGCCTGCAATGTAATTTCTTCTATTAGATTGGCAATTTTCAGTTTACCATGTCTGTTCATGTGAAGCCCATGACTTGTAAAGCAGTGTCGTGGGAATAAGTGAACCGGCAGAAGTTTCAAGTTAGAATGCTTTTTTGACATTTTCTCAATTTCAGCATTAATTTTGGAGATTTTTAGATCAAATTTAGGATTGTCATGCCTCATTGGGTTAGTTGATAGTATGAGGTTTGTGTGTTTTGAGTCCCTGATTGGTTTTTGTATTCCATCCATTAGTTTCTTGATTCCAGTATTCTCAATATTATTGGCACCACCCATAACCAATAGGTAATCTTTTATATTCAGGTCTTTGGTAAGTTGATGTTGTTCTTCTATCATTTTGTCAAACTGTGCTCTAGGTCTGATAAATGCACACACATTTAGACCAGTCTTTTTTCTATTAGTTCACTTATTCTCTTTCTGTGACTATCAGCAAGAATAATTAGTAGATTTTTGCTATTTTCTACTAGTTTTTCGCTGTGTTTTCTGGCTTTAGGTGAGTGATTAGTTACGTTGAATTTTTGCTGCTTCTCTTGATGTGGTGGTAATGTAATGTTGGTATTTTTTTCAAGTGAAGGTAGAGGCTCCGGAAGTGAATTGTCATCTGTTGAAAGTAAGCTATATGGGTTCGTACAGATTATGTTATCATCAATTGGTTGTTTAGTCTTTGTTTTAGATTTAATGTTAGTCTGCCACAGAGTTTCATTCCTATTATTTGGGTTAACAGTTGGGTGGCAACTATTACAATTCTGGATGTTGGACCTCAGATTTTCAATCTGGATCTGCAGTTCATTTTTGTCTCTAGACAAAACTTCAATTATACCTTGAAGGTTTTTATTTTCTTCTTTGTATTTATTTAATTCTTGTTTGAGTATTTGGGTGTGGAAGTCATTAGTTTTGCTAATGTTTTCATTAATCAGAGGATTTTCTGGAAGCTGGAAGCTACATGTTTCTGTAGGGACACTTCGCTGGCAATTATCATCTGAACGTTTTAGAGTATTTTCTGATGCAGCTTAAGTCATCAAGAGAACAAAGTTGCGTTTCATTAGTTTTTGTCGCCTTTGGTTCGTACTACGTCTACTTAGATCAAGTTAAAGCTTTTTGCTTGGTGTAGGTATTGGTTTAACAGATGGGGAGCTAAAAGTTTTTTCAAATCTCCCATGCCTTTCGAATCTCTATCAATGCAGTCTTATATTGGTCTTTGTGTTTCTGGGATATCGATTCCAGTGGGCATTTTTAGCTTATTTTTGTGGTAGTGCATCAGATCAGTCCTGTCTACAAAGCTTGTTTCATTTATCGCAAAAAATAAAACTTCATATTTAACAATAGTTTTATAAGTAGTCTTATCAATATTTTGTATTCTGGCTGGCCAATAAGGATATCCTTTAATCTTAGCAAAAACTAAGTTGCCTATTTTATATTCATTTGCATTAGAAGGTGAAGGCATTTTTATTTACTTAAATATCTATGCTTAGTCTTCAATAATATAAAATTGCTAAGCTGTTTAAGCCCAAGGACAAAATCTCAATTAGTAATTAAAATTATAAAAATAAATCAGTACGGTAAATAAATAAAAATAAACTGCTTTTCTTAAAATAATACAGGGAAGTATATGGTGCTGAAAGTTTATAATAGTCCTGTTCAGTGGAAGTTCAGGTGAAGGGTCAGTTCTCAATGTAAACAAATCTGCTGATTATGAGACTGAAGCTGAAGTATCCAAGGCAAGTTTGCAAGTGGGCTGGATATCAGTTGCAGGTACAAAGGTCAAACACTCACCACACTCACTGCCACTTCTGAGGTCTTGTCTCTGGTCCCATCTATTCACTGATAACTAAAATAATTCTGTAATATTTTGGAAAAACCTTGATTTTATAAAAACCGGTTACTTTAAAGAAAAACTGGCTGCATACTTTTGCACAAAATTTCAAACTGATGAATTTGGTACTAAATACTTTGTATAAAAATATAATAAACTGGCAAAACTTTGAGAAAACTGAGGAGCACAAGTGAAATAGTTCTTGTAGCACAAGGGGCTTCCCCCACCCTCATCTACACCAGGGTGTCTACCAGTCGGGAAATCTGGGAAAAAGTAGGTAGGGGATTTTGAAAGTTCTGGAAAAGTCGTGAAAAAGTCATGAATTTCGGCCAAAAGTCGGGAATAATCTAACCTTTCAAAATGAGGGATGAACGGGTCCCAAAACTTTAAAAAAAATGTTTTGGATCTTATATTCCTGATCATTGGGACGGGATTACATTTGAGGGGTGTGGGATGAATCGAAAATGCATCAGAATTCCAATTTGATTCAGTGATGATCAAAATTTCCTAACGATATGAATCATGGGCATTCAGTATCCATATACGTTATTGAATCAGTATTTATATATGTTTTTGAATCAGTATCCATATGTTATTGAATCCGTATCCATACCACATTGAATCAGTATCTATATACGTTATTGAAGCAGTATCCTTACGTTTTGAATCAGTATCCATACGTTATTGGATATCTATATGCGGTATTGAATCAGTATTCATATACGATTTAGAATTAGTATCCATACCTTATTGAATCAGTATCTATATACGTTATTGAATCAGTATCCAAATACGTTTTTGAATCAGTATCTATACATTATTGAATCAGTATCTATATACGGTATTGAATCAGTATCCATACATTTTTTAGTCAGTATCTATATACGTTATTGAATCAGTATCCAAATACGTTTTTTAATCAGTATTCATAGGTTATTGAATCAGTATCCAAATACTTATTTCAATCAGTATCCACACGTTATTGAATCAGTATCCAAATACGTTTTAGAATTAGTATCCATACCTTATTGAATCAGTATCTATATACGTTATTGAATCAGTATCCCAATACGTTTTTGAATCAGTATCTATACATTATTGAATCAGTATCTATATACGGTATTAAATCAGTATCCATACATTTTTGAGTCAGTATCTATATACGCTATTGAATCAGTATCCAAATACGTTTTTGAATCAGTATCCATCCATACGTTATTGAATCAGTATCCATATACGTAGTTGACTGTTACAATGATACTGTTACTTTGACTATCAGTATCCATATAACTTATTGACATTATTCAAATGATTGACATTAATTATATAAGTTATTCACTCAGACATTGCTTTGCCATACAAGTTATTACCATCCAAGTACATGGCATACACTGAGACATTGCTTCGCCATACAGGCTATTGCCATCCAAGTACATGGCATACACTGAGACATTGCTTAGCCATACAGGTTATTGCCATCCAAGTACATGGCATACACAGAGACATTGCTTACCCATACAGGTTATTGCCATCCAAGTACATGGCATACACTGAGACATTGCTTCGCCATACAGGTTATTGCCATCCAAGTACATGGCATACACTGAGACATTGCTTCGCCATACAGGTTATTGCCATCCAAGTACATGGCATACACTGAGACATTGCTTCGCCATACAGGTTATTGCCATCCAAGTACATGGCATACACTGAGACATTGCTTCGCCATACAGGTTATTGCCATCCAAGTACATGGTATACATTGAGACATTGCTTTGCCATACATGTTATTGCCATCCAAGTACATGGCATACACTGAGACATTGCTTCGCCATACAAGAAGTTATTTATACCTTGTAGTTCTGATTCTATCCTCTTATTTTGTCAATGTAAACCAATTGAAAGATTCAGTATTTAAATCTTACAAAGGTTTTTATTTGTTTACACACAAACATATATTTATTTATAAAATCAATAAAATAAAATGCTTAACAACATGATGCTGCAAGTAAAAACTATGAATTAGGCAAGAAGCTTACTGATATTTCCAGAAATACTGGTTCTTCTAATGTATGATTGAAAACAGATATTTCACTCCACTGACAAGTTGAATAGAAAAATTCCATGTTGCTTCGAATCGAGTTACATCAACCTTTTTTTTAATCGAATCGTTGCTTTGAATTGAAATGTTTTGCTGCTTCACACACCCCTACATTTAATACGGGATTTTCTCGGCATGTGATTCGTTTCGATCGTCAGTGATTTCGCTGCGTCGCGAGTGACAACATATGTTGACGAAGGTACCGTGACCGTGAGACGGAAAAAGGTGTAGTAACATGGAGAATGGGCAGAGTTTTTGGTCGGGATGTATATAAAAATTGTAATGAAAAGTCGGGAATTCCATTTGAGAAATCTGGCAGACACCCTGTACACCCACAGATAGCTGTGTAGGTTTTTTCCCCCACCTACACTCATCTCCATTTATACATGGCTTAAAAATATCTACATTTGTATAGTCGCTTTTTCAAATGAAAGTATTAAAGAATAATTTTAAAAAAAAACATTTTGGCCTGTTCGACCCTGTACATGTAACAATCCCATTTTATTCAAAAACGTTTTACCCCAAAAATTTATATTTAATTTTTTTTTCATATGATAAATGTTACAGAAACAAGGAGAGCACACAGTGTCTAGCAAGCCAGAGGCAGCGTTTGCTATAGCAGCCGTCATTGTGTCACTGTGGGCGCAGTTCCCTGAGCTGGGGCGACTGTTGTTGGCTCACTTCCATCGAGAATGTCCCTACCTCATACCAGCCTTCCTACCACAAACTGAGGGACAGTCAGATCAGGATTACTACAAGTAGGTGTCTTTAAAATACTTGAAGTAATATTTGATAATTAGTATAGAATAAATTGTTTCAAGATGGTGTTGTAATGAGTCTTGTATTTTCAGAACAATGTTTTGATAATCACAATAGTAAAAACATCAGGATTAATAAATATTTAAAATAACATATGATTGATGAGGAATGCAAATAAAAAATATATAACAGATTCTTCCGCACTGAGTAAGTGTTCAAGGCGTGTATTGTGTCGGTCGTTTGATCTGTCTTGATGAATGTCGACGTGAAGGTGTTAGTCCATAATATCCAGATGTACTTGTGTCTGGTTGATGACTGGTTGATGCATGACTGGTGGATGAATGACTGGTAGACGAATAACTGTTAGTGTTGAACGGAGGAAAAAATGTCAAGTCTGTATTTTCAATGTTTTCACTAAATTCCTTCTTTTTGGTGGAAGACTTTTTCCAGCTAGTTTTTCTGACACATGTATCTTCTGTGGATGATTTAGACCATTTTCTGATTTTTTCTTACTTAGGTTGATTTGCAAGTGTCGTATCCATGTTCGACCCAAAAGAGGACTGTATCCGTCAGGAACAACAAATAACTGTTCGACGGTTGATGTCCCATTGCTTTTCACTCTTACTGAAGCAATGCCCAGCGGAGATAGTAGCTTCCCTGTGTAAGAACGAAATTTGACAGATGTTGGGGTTAAAGTGTCCATTGAAATGTTTAAACGATTTAAGTCTCCTCTAGGAAGTAGAGTGTGGGCGCAACCTGAATCAACCTCGAACTTTTGGGGCCGGTCATTAATAAGAACTGTCGTTATAAACTTATCAGTGTCTGGAAGGTGTATGTCATGAATGTTTCCAATTTGACCTATGCCATAAATACCATCAACGTCTGACTCCACGGACTGGTTATCATTATCTTGATTTAAGTGTTTTTTTTTTTTTGAACCACTTTGTTTAGACAGTAGGGACTTGATACATACCTTCGAAATGTGACCCTTTTTGTTACAGGCATTACAGCGGACTCGAGATCTGTGCAGTCTGCATTGATGTGACGTATGATTGTTCTTGCCACACCGAAGACAAACGCCATTCAAGCCAAGAGCAATTAAATCAACTTGTTCTTTGCGCCAATAATGTCCTTTTAGTGTAGCAGAAGAAATTGAGCTGTTGCGACTGCTGTCGGAAGAACGACTGCTGCTCTCGCCTGACAAACGATGGCTGAATCTAGCTGACGATCGATGCCTTTTCGAATGTACTGCCACCTTGTTGACGCCTACGTTGCTGTAAGACGGTTGTGACTGCTGTGAAAACTCGTCTATGGCATTGGAATTCAGCTTTGAAGCTTCAATTGCTAAAGCTCGTGTTACAGCAGAGTCAAAAGTTAGCTCATTCTGTTGAATAAGGTTCTCTCTTATGGAAGAATCCCTAATTCCTCTTAAGAATTGTGCCCTGAGGAATAGGTCAGAAACAGAAGCGTTACAAGTAGAACAGGCCACATTACAAGTCGAAATTTGCTTTTTGAGGGACATGACATAACTGGAAATTGACTCCTCAGACTTTTGTACCTGAGAAAAGAATTTGTGTTGTTCGACAATTTTGTTTTGAGCAGGAAAGTGATTTGTCATTAGGGCAGTTAGCTCTTCGTACATCAGCTCATTTACCTTCTTTGGCAACGATAAGGTAGACAACAAGTCGTAGCCAGAAGAGCCTAGACTGTTAATAAATATCTGGGAACAGAGATCTTTGTCTGAGAAAACGTTTTTCACCTCTAAGTAGTTTTCAAATCTCTTTGTATTGAGAAAACGTTTCTTGTGTACAGTCAAACTTAAAGTACACTGAATTTACTCTGCCCACTGCCACACTAAACCTAGTGTTGCACTTCAAATGTGAATCTTTTGCAGTGGCCCTTCTTACTCACTATATATTACCAAATTTCTAATCGGTCGATCCAACTCGAACGATGCAATCTCTCGTCGCCTAATTGACGGAATAAATCTGTGTAATATCTCATCATGTAAGACATTCCAGCGTACATTACCCGATACGGCTTCTAAAAATAGTTGAAGCATCTGACCTTTGACCTTAGGGATGATGAGTTTAATGATCTCTGTGTGACAATTTGGAGAAAATGTCAAATATTGGTTTAATATTTTTGAGGAATGAAATTAATTCAAGTTCATCTGTGCCGTCTACTGTGTTCAATTTATTTATTAATTCAATTATTACAATCTGATCTGTTTTGGAGAGTGTGTGATTAACATTGTATGAATGAGCATGAGCATGTATGTGGGTGTCATGTGCATGTTGTGTATATGTCCAAGTGTCAGGTTGTGTGATGGTGTGAGTATGTGGTATATGTGAGGGGTCTGTGACAGCACAATGGTGTACGGTGGGCAGTAGACAATGCACCAGCCGTTGCCGGAAACGACGTGTATTGTGCAGTTACTATCTCCCTCTCTCGGCACACTCGTTCGAAGGTTGAATGTCCACGTACGATGAGCTATTGGCATGACTGTTTTGATTTGTATTCGATGTACTTGATAAAACTTCAGTCAATTCGTGGTTGTTTAGATCCATTAAACAACTATTGGAATTTTGTCTAATTGGCGATGGTTCGTCATCGTTTACGATCGGTAAACGACAATCGGGATTTTGTCTACATAAACTAGCAACATTATCGTTTGGCGGAATTAATTCATGGTTTTGGTTGATCGTCGCATTTAAGTCGATTAATTGTTCTAAATTTCTTCTCGGCATTCGGTTACGTCTTTCATCCGCGGTCGTATTATACCCTGGCCCAAATTGTCGCTGCATTTTCTCGCTAGGAAAATAGATCAATTAACGATAATATATCTCTGTTTGACAAGAAAGAATACTTTACGACGACAAACAACGATTAACAATGATTCACAACACAATGCACAACAATAACGATGATAACAATAACAATAATAATATAATTTCTAATAATTTAAACAATTTCAGTGAATCGCACAGACACAAACAGTACCAGGAAATCACGCAATGATTTCATTTATTTGTAAAGAAAAATAAAAAAACTACAATAAACACATTCAAATATAAATATTTAAATATGTTTATTTGTAAAGAAAAAAACCTTCGACTTCTATTTATATATATTTAAGTATAACTTAAATATATTTTTCACTCTCCTTGTTATCACCTCAATAACTCTCTAACAATTTAATCTTTACAAATTTTGGTTGCCCCTGGGTTGGAAGAACTGAGAATAATATAAACAACAGAGCGTTGGTAGTGGAAGCTTGATGTTAAAATAATATTTGAGTGGGCCCTGTAGAATAAAATAATCCCCAGAAGTCCTTATGGGACGTCCCTGGCACTGTTTGAAGTTCTTCCAGACTGAAATACGGTAAATAAATCTTAAAATACACTGAATTTACTCTGCACACTGCCACACTAAACCTAGTGTTGCACTTCAAATGTGAATCTTTTGCAGTGGCCCTTCTTACTCACTATATATTACCAAATTTCTATTGAATGACTGTTAATGCTAAGAGAAATACCCAGGATACTGATAACTATGGAAAAAAAATTTAAAAAAAATTAAACAATTACTCTGTTGTGAATTGGTGTCAGTAGAATAATTTACAAGTTACATTCAATACAAATACAAAACCCTATACAATTTAATTAGTCCTATATAATGAGAAAATCACAGTTTACTAAACAATGCAGATTGATTTACCAGAAATGGATATTAAAAATACTAATGAGGACTTGAACCTGAAAACATGTGCTAATATAACAGGATATAACAAACTATGACAGGAAAATTCTACACATGTGCGACTCACTGAAAACTATAGATATAACAATAAATAACATTAACTACTTACAGTTTCGGACGTCCTACAAAGACACAAACACTTAGGTGAGGGAGAGGAATACGGAATTAGCTGAGCCGGTACAGTTGTATCATCCTATTTATGGGTCTGGTGATTGGGGTCCAGTCTAAATTGATTACTGTACTGTTGACCACCTATTGTATTTTTATATAGATTTACTATTTTCTATGCAGTCTCGGTATGGATGTAAATATATTTGAACTTATAATAGAAAACGATGACAAGGACAAATTAAGACAAGACTGAACACTAGAGGTGTGCGTGTGTAGTATCTTTATACTTTCTATGATCAGCTGTTGTTATTAATTTTAAAACAATGTAGTTCAATGTTTACCTTTTCAATTTACAGTTTGTAAATATTCCATTCAATAAAAGAGTTTGTTCAAACGTGTGCAATTATTAACTCTAATTCAAAGTCACAACAATTGGCAACAAATAAAAGTTTTTCAAAAATTCTACTCAACATTTGGATCCAGAACCTTTTCTAAATTTTGATTTTGTACATTATGGATGCAGAACAATTTACAGCACTACTGAAAGCATTCACTGAGAGCCAAATCACACTTGCAGCTACACTTGCAACGAAGATTACAGACAAACTTTAACATCAATCTCCAGTACAACAGAGTAATACTCTAGTAAGTATTCAACCATTTGAAAACTTTGATCAGAAAAAGGAAAAATTTTAAACTATTTGGAACGCTTTGAAAACTATCTTGCTGCCAAAAACATTTCAGATGAAAAGAATAAAGCACAACTTCTTTGGGCTCTAATTGGCTCTGATCACTACAATAATCTGTCAGCATTAATTGGATCTGAAAAACCTATTAAAGACCTAGATTTTGCTACTTTGGTCAAATCACTAAGTGACATGCTTTCACCACACAGGAACGTTGTAGTTTCACAGCATTACTTTTTAAGTACATGTACTTATCAAAAAGTAAATCAATCAATTCCTGAGTACATAGCTTCACTACTTAAAGACCGGTCTGAATGTGAATTTACAGTTCAGTGTGAGTGTACAAAACAAGTTTCAGTCTCAGATATATTTGTAAGAGCTCAATTCATAAGAAGCTTAAAAGATGACTGGATTCGAGAACAGTTATACAATCAGACACT